CATGTCACCCCGACTGAACCGCCCATGACACCCCTGCAGAGAACCCATGTCACCCCACCTGAACCCCTGTGACACCCCCACAGAGCTCCCCATGAGCCCCCATGTCACCCCTGACTGAACGCCCGTGACACTCCCTACAAAGCGCCGCCCTAATACCCCCCCAGGGCCCCTTGCAACACCTCAACTGAACCCCCCACAACAGCCCCCTTGAGCCTCCTGTGACATTCCCTCCAGAGCCCCCCTCCAGAGAGCCCGCTGCTGAACCCCCTACAGAGCTACCCCAATGGCCCCTCATGATGCCCCCTGCAGAGCTCCCTGCAACACCCCCCTGCAGAGCCTCTGGCCAACCCCCCCGACTCCCCATGCAGAACCCTCTGCAGCAGCCTGGTAGAGATCCCCATGTTCCCCATAAGTTATGATGCCCCCTGCAGAAGGTGCTGGGCAGAATCTGTGTCTGGGCCCCTTGGATAAGCTGCTGTAGCCAGTGACTGCCGGAGCCCTGCTGCTACTTGCCCTACAGTGCGCTCTTCGGGGCAGAGACCGGTTGGGCCTTCTCTGCCTAGCCTTCCCCAGACCCCTCCAGAAACAAGTTACCCAAGGCCTGGGTAAGGACTTAGCAGGGAGGGTCAGGGTTGCTGGGCTGGCCCTCAGCTGGGGCTTTCTCCTCCCTCCCTGCACAGCCTGTGTTGTGGGACCTTTGCACTTTGCCGACTAGATTGATGTGGTTCAACCAGGAGGCAGGCCTGCCACGTAGGTGTGCCCACTGGCCTGCTCCAGCGCAGCAGGGGGGAGTGTCAGGCTAGCAGGGCTCCCAGATTTATCTGGCACAGGAGTGTCTCTCTTTCTATAATGACAGGTTTCAGAGTAGCAGCCGTGTTAGTCTGTATTCGCAAAAAGAAAAGGAGGACTTGTGGCACCTTAGAGACTAACCAATTTATTTGAGCATGAGCTTTCGTGAGCTACAGCTCACTGCACCCGATGAAGTGAGCTGTAGCTCACAAAAGCGTATGCTCAAATAAATTGGTTAGTCTCTAAGGTGTCACAAGTCCTCCTTTTCTCTTTCTATACTTCTGCTCCCTGTTCTAGTGGGGCTGATCATGGGTGACACCAGCTCCAAGGTCTCCCAGGCACTGCCAGCCCCTTCCCTCAGTGGCTGCTTTATACATGAAGGGAGTGGACTGAAAGCCAAGAGTATCCTGAGGTCTAATCCCTGCCAATCTCCTCATTTAGTGTGGGCCACCGGGTCAGTTGCTTGGCCTACTTAGCCCAGCCAGCCAGGCCTCCCTGAACACACACAGGATCTACTCTCTGAGAGAGCAGGGGTGCCTGGTAACCCCATCTGGGCATTGTTCTGGAAGAAAGAATTCCTGACTCTCCCCGCTCCCTGACCTCCCCGCCTGGGGAAGCTGGCTCCAGGCTCAGTGTTGCTGATCCTCCCCTTCAGTTAGTGCTGGGCTCAGTAGGTGCTGGGGTGTGGAGGGCAGCTGCCTGCGTGACCACAGGGGGCTAGCGATGAAGGGAAGGAGAGCCTGAGCGGGGATGGGCCATGGCTTCGGTCTGCTGGGGCTTCTGACGTGTTCTTGCAAAGACTGGCTTTCTGCTCTTTGGTGAAGTTCTCCAAAGCAGTGCGGGGTCACTTGAGCCTTGTCCAGGGGGTGTGCACGTGTCGGGGGGGGGCGGGCCCATATGCACACTGGAGGGTGGGCGGGGGGGCACGCATGGGAAGGTGTGTTCAAGGATACGTGGGCCAGTGCTAGGCTGGGGGGTGGTACCTGCATTGCAAGGTTTAGAGTGTGCACACATGGGTGGGTGTATGTGTGTGCAGGAGCGGGTGGGGGCCTGGCAGGCGTGCATGTGCGGGATCACCCACCCCCTGCACCAGGAAAAGCCGCTGGACGGGCCCTGCCTCCCCCAACTCCCCAGGAGCAGCAAGCGCCTGGATTCTGCTCATTTCTAACTGAACTCTCCCTCCCTCTCCCCGTCAGCAAGGGGCAGGCAGGCAGGGAAGGGGGCGAGGAAGCTGAAGTGGTCAGAGACCTGCACTTTGCTAGAGAGGCCACAGAGATGACACTGGTCCCTGCTGGGCTCGCAATCCATCACCTGTCCCCTGTGAGGAAGCTCCTGGGGGAAGCCCTTCAGCTGGGACCTGGGTTTAAGGATGACAGGGGAGGGGCTTTAGGTGTGGGGGAGGAGAGGATAATGGGGAAAGCCCAGCGGTTGGCCCCAGGGCTGAGCGACTGAGTCCTGGCCCTCGCTGCCCACCTGCCCCAGCCCAGCTCAGGAACCCCATTCTCTGGTTCCCTAGTTCGGTGCCCCCCACTCCTTTGCTCCTCTGCTCCTTTCTCCCCTTCCCTGCACCCCTCTCCCCCCTCCAGCCTACCCCCTTTGCTGCACCCCTCCAGGCCTACAGCCAGCACAACAGGCCTGGCTGCCGATTTCAGTTCTGTCAAATTCCCACAGAAATCAAGACCAATAGATCAGCCACTCGGACAAGCCACCCAGCTGCACTCTGCCTGCACGTCTCCCTGCCTGAGCCCAGAGTGTGCGTCCATCCCAGGGACAGGGCTATGCACCCACCCTGTCACCTAGGGAAGCCACCTCTGTGCTTTGTGACTCATGGCCACATGTCTGTGTAACCCTGAGTTCAGGGCGCTGCTGGGCAGGATGGAGGCATGCCTGCTGCAGGAGCAGGGGGTAGAGAGGTGCAGGGATGGGCGGCAGAGGGTTGCAGCAGTGGAGGAGGGGCGAAGGGGCAGAGAGCGAAAGGGGGTAGGGGACTAGGGAACAAGAAAAGGATGGGGTGCAGTGAAGGGGGATGGAAGAGTGCCGCAATGGGGTGCAGCAAAGGGTGCACAGGGAAGGGGGGTAGAGGGTTGCAGCAAAGCAATGGGGAATGGGAGAAGGGACAGAGGGGTGCAGTGAAAGGGGTTTTGGGAGTGCAGGGAAGGGAGATGGAGGGGTGCAGCAATGGGGAGGAGAAGGGGCTGAGGGGTGCAGTGAAGGGGGACGGAGGGACAGAGGGGTGCAGTGAAGGGGGTTTTGGGGGTACAGGGAAGGGCGATAGAGGGGTGCAGCAAAGGGGGCACAGGGAAGGGTGCAGGGGGTGTAGCAATGGAGGAGCAGGGAAGGGGGGCAGAGGGAGGCAGTTTCTTATTGGTCAGAAGAAACAAGGGAGCCAGGACAGGTGGCGTGCTCCCATGCAGAGGGGTGGGGGACACCGAACTAGGGAACCAGAGAACTGGATTCCACAGCTGGGCTGGGGCAGGTGGGCAGCAAGGACCAGGAGTCAGTCCCTCAGCCCTGGGGCTAACCGCTGGGCTTTCCCCATTATCCATCTCTCCTCCCCACACCTAGAGCTCCCCCTCCCTGCATGCACACACCTGTGTGACGCCTGGGTCCCAACTTGGACTGGGGGAGATGGACCGGTGCACGACCTTGCTGCCCACTCCCTTGCCCTGCCCTGGCCGTGTCGAGGCACAGGAAGGGTGGGTTTGTGGCAGGACGTAGCTGAACCTGGCGCTGCTCCTGGCTTTCCTGGTACTTGTGGGGAGATGTTCCCATCTGACGGCTCCCCAAAGGGGCATAGTGCACATGGGCTGGGGGCCAGGACTCCTTGCAGCTTTGGTCGAGACTCAGTGCCCCTGAGCCCTGTGCACTGTGCTGCTTTGCTCACAGCCTTTCCTGCGGAGCTTGGCATTGGTGTCTGTCTCCATTAGAACCCTAACTCCTGCCATGTGCCCCGTGTGTCAGTTCTCAGAGCTCTTTACAGACCAACTAATCCTGGGTAACTGACTAACCTCCCACCTCCAGGGCAACAGCACTGTCCCCACTTTACAGAGGGAAACTGAGGCATGGGGCACGGGGCTGGCCTGCTGCAGGCCAGGCCCATTGGTGTGCAGTGGGATCCCAATGCCAGGGCCTAGCTTCCAGCCCACCCCTCTCTCCAGAGGACACTGCTTCTCCGGGTGGCTGGCATTCTGCCCGGAGAGCCATTGCCAGCTGGGGCTGACGACTGGGTACAATTGACTTGTGTCTCCTCTTGCTGGGTTGGGGGGAGAATTTCAGGGGGTGCCTGGGCAGATGAAGGGTTAGGGGGGCGGGATGCTGGGGATCCACTCTCCCTTGTTCATGTTGTCCCAGACTGGGGTCCCCTCCAGTTGCTTATATGGCAAATCAAGCTATTTGGAGTCCAGCCATAGATGCGTCTGTCCCTGGGGAAGGACCCTCTTGGCTCCCTAGTCAGCTCAGTACCTGGGGCTCGCCAATGATCCCACCCATAGGACTGTGGTGTGTTGGAGACATTCACCCCCTTGCCTGGCCTGAGAAACACCCAGCCCTCAAGGGCGAGAACTCCCTGTGCCAGCTGGGGCCCCATGTAACAGGGCTGCTGTGGGGTTGGCTCAGCCTTCCCTCCAATCCCCAGTGACTGGCCTCAGTCCCCTGCTCCCACTGGCACCCCAAAAAGACACAGCGCAGACGCAGGGCTCCCCTCAGTCCTCACCTCAAGGTAAGCCTTCCTGCGGCTTCTCTCTAGGCTGTTCTCCTTGTCCATGGTGGGTCAGCAACGGCCCCAGGCAGCTGCCCGCTGCTAAAGCCAGAGAGAAATGAGCTTAATAACAGCTCTAATCAGCTCCTAATCCGGGCAGTCCCGGAGAGGGGGCGGGCAGGCAGGCAGTCCTCCTCTCCAGAGCAGCCCTCCGAGCACATCCAGCCCTCTGGGGATCCCGCCTGGGTGCTGGGGAACCGCAAACTCACATTAGCTCCCTGCCTGCAGTTACAGTATTGTCCTCAGTTGCCCGTCCCGTGTGTGATTGAAGGGTGCCCTGTGAGCACTGGGCCTACCCACCCCATGTGCCATTGTAGGGTTCCCCCTGGGCTTGCCCACACCTCGAATAGTGTGTGCTGCTTGGTGTCATGCCACGTGAAACAAAGTACTAGACTGGGAGAAAGCACAGAGGGCAAGCGATTGTGGGTCTGAAACAGCGTCTATATGAGGAGAGATGAAAACGACGGGGATCTTGGAAGAGAGACGACGCAGGGGAGATACGAGGGAGGCCTATAAAATCCTGACGGGGGCGGAGAAAGGAAAGACGGACGAGTTATTTACCCCTTCTCGTAACCCAAGAACCAGGGGCCACCCAATGCAATGAAGGGGCAGCGGGTTTCAAACAAGCCGGAGGAAGGGTTCCTTCCCTCGGCGCGCAGTCGACCCGGGGAACTCCTTGCCTGGGGACGCTGCGGCGGCCGAAAGCACAACTGGGTTAACAACAGAGCGAGGTAAGTTCACGGAGGGCCGCAGAGTATCAGGGCTGGAACCGACCCCCTGCTCAAAGCAGGGCCAGACCCCAGTTTCTGCCCCGCTCCCTGGCTGGGCCCTCAAGGATTGAACTCCCAGCCCCGGGTTCAGCAGGCCCCCACTCAAGGGATCCTGTCCGGGCGGGGCACAGGAGGCCTCTGGGCCCCACGGGCCGGGCCCCGGTTTGCCAGGCGCCGGGCCGGGGCGGGTCACGCCAGGGCTGACCCAGCCTGGCCGCTCCCCGTGTCCCTGCCCGGAGCCCTGGCAACGCGCCGCGCCGCCCTCAGCAAAGATGGCGGGCTCGGGGCTCTCCGGCCCTCCCCGCCCCTAGCAAAGATGGCGGGCTCGGGGCTCTCCGGCCCTCCCCGCCCCTAGCAAAGATGGCGGGCTCGGGGCTCTCCGGCCCTCCCCGCCCCTAACAAAGATGGCGGGCTCGGGGCTCTCCGGCCCTCCCCGCCCCTAGCAAAGATGGCGGGCTCGGGGCTCTCCGGCCCTCCCCGCCCCTAGCAAAGATGGCGGGCTCGGGGCTCTCCGGCTCTCCCCGCCCTCAGCAAAGATGGCGGGCTCGGGGCTCTCCGGCCCTCCCCGCCCCTAACAAAGATGGCGTCAGCCTACGCCTAGCAAAGGGTGGACTCCTGTGACTGTGTCCGGCTCTCCCCGCCCTCAGCAGAGGATTGTGGGGTGGGCTGAGGGGGGTGTTTCTGGTGTGGGAGGGAGGCCGCCCCTCCCGCGCCCCTGAACAAAGATGGCGGGACTCGGGGCTTAGGCGGGAGCCCCTAGCAAAGATGGCGGAGCTCGGGGCTGAGTGGCCAGAGGGCGTCTGAAAGGCTGGGTGGGTGGGGGGTCTCCGCCCCGGGGCTAAAGGTGGGGGTTGGGGCGGTGAGGGGGGCTCTGAGAAAGCTGGGGGTGGGGGGGGTTGGGGCGCTGAGCCGGCCTCTAGCAAAGATGGCGGGGTGGGTGGGTGGGTGGCCCCCCCGGCCCCTAGCAAAGATGGCGGGTGGGATCTAAGGGCCCTCCCCGCCGGTAAAGATGGGGGCTCGGGGCGGTGGGGCCGCCCCTAACAAAGATGGGTGGGTGGGGGGGTTGGGTCGGTGGGGGGCCCTGCAAAGCTGGGGGTAGGGACGGTGAGGGTGGATCTGAAGTGGCTGGGTGTGGGGGGTTTGGCGCGGCGCAGAGGATCTGTGGGGTGGGCTGGGGGGGTGTTTCTGGTGTGGGGGGGAGGCCGCCCTGCCTGGGGGGCTTGGGGTGGTGGAAGGGGGATCTGAAGGGTTGGGGTGGGGGCCGGAGGGGGGTGAGTGAGGGGAGTCTGAAGGGCTGGGTGGGGGGGGGTGGGGTGGTGGTGGGGATCTGAAGGGCTGGGGGTGGGGGGGTTGGGGCGGTGAGGGGGGGATCTGAAGGGCTGGGGGTTGGGGGGGTTGGGGTTGGGGCGGTGGGGGGGATCTGAAGGGCTGGGGGTGGGGGGGTTGGGGCGGTGGGGGGGATCTGAAGGGCTGGGTGGGGGGGGGGTTGGGGCGGTGAGGGGGGATCTGAAGGGCTGGGTGGGGGGGGGTTGGGGCGGTGAGGGGGGATCTGAAGGGCTGGAGGTGGGGGGGGTTGGGGCGGTGAGGGGGGGGAGTCTGAAGGGCTGGGTGGGTGGGGGGGTTGGGGCGGTGGTGGGGATCTGAAGGGCAGGGTGTGGGGGGGAGTTGGGGTGGTGGTGGGGATCTGAAGGGTGTGGGTGGGGGGGGGGGGGGGTGGGGGCGGTGGGGGGATTGGGGTGGGGGTTGGGGCGGTGAGGGGGGATCTGAAGGGCTGGGTGTGGGGGGAGTTGGGGCGGTGAGGGGGGATCTGAAGGGCAGGGGGTGGGGGGGTTGGGGCGGTGGTGGGGATCTGAAGGGTTGGGTGTGGGGGGGGTTGGGGCGGTGGGGGGGATCTGAAGGGCTGGGGTGGGGGGGTTGGGGCGGTGAGGGGGGATCTGAAGGGTTGGGTGTGGGGGGGAGTTGGGGTGGTGGTGGGGATCTGAAGGGCTGGGGGTGGGGGGGTTGGGGCGGTGAGGGGGGATCTGAAGGGCTGGGGGTTGGGGGGGTGAGGGGGGTGGGGTGGGGGTTGGGGCGGTGAGGGGGGATCTGAAGGCGGGGGGGGGGGGTTGGGGCGGTGAGGGGGGATCTGAAGGGTTGGGTGTGGGGGGGGTTGGGGTGGTGAGGGGGGATCTGAAGGGCTGAGTGTGGGGGGGTTGAGGGTTTGAGTGCGAGGGGGGTCTGAGGGCGGTGCGGGGGGGTTTGTACGGTGGGGGGGTCTGAAGGGCTGGGTGTGAGGGGGGGTGGGGGGGTGTCTGAGGGTTCGGGTACAGTGGGGGCTTGGGGAGGCGGGGGGGGTCTGAAGGGCTGGGTGTAGGGGGGTTGGGGTGGTGAAGGGGGTCTGAGGGTTTGACTGCGAGGGGGAGGTGGGGGGTGTCTGAGGGTTTGGGTGCAGTGGGGGGTTGGGGAGGTGGGGAAGTCTGGGGACATGCGGGAAGAAAGTAACTCCCGAGCCCCAGGCTGTTCTGCTCAGGGCGTTTGGGGGGAGCCCCCACCCTATGTTTGGGGGAGGAAGTGATGTTGCCCCCGGCGCCGGCTGGGGGTTGGCCTACCTGGGGTGCTCCCTGGAGTGAGTGAGCGGTGAGGAGATACGTTGGGCCTGATGCGGGGGTGTCCCCTTGGGAGATCTCTTGGGAGGCGGCAGGGGAGGGGGTGCTGGGGCCATGCGTCAGCGGGAGGTGGGTTGGTCTGTTCCCTGGCCTTCCTGACCCTCTGCACGTTCACTTTCGGTCCTGGCCCGCTTGGCTGCTTGCTCACAGCTACTGTCTTGCAGGGCCCTTCCCGCCGGGGCACTTACCCCTCAGCCTGCTCACCAGCTACGGCTGTGACCCCAGCTTACAGCACCACAAGGAAGAGGTATGTGTCTGCTGTCCCTCTGCCTTCAAGGGAGTGTGTGGGGTGCATCCCTCAAGGGGTATCATGGGGCTCCCACCTTCCCAGCCAGACCCCTGGCAACTAGACACGGCTGAGTCTCTTGGGCTGGCTGCCTGGTTTGCAGGCGGGGAGGGGGACCCTGGGCCAGGGCTCTGGGAGAAGCTCATTCCTGCTTCTTCTGTCTGATTTGACCAGACCTTCAAGTTGTGTAACGGGTGGGCGCAGCAGTGAGCTTGGGGAGGCACTGAGGAACCCCAGCGGGGCTGCTGGAGACCCTGAGTCGCTAGCTGTGGTTCCGTCTCCTAGGATCTCAACAACTTCATGGAGAAGCTGATGATGGAGAACCTGTACGGCCCCCCCAACAGTGCCATGAAGTGTAAAGCTGAGGAGATAGCAGGTACGAGGGGGTGGGGAAGGGGAGAGTCGGGGAGGCCAGGGGCTTTTGTGGGTGGACCTTGTGGGGTCAGAAGCTCTTGGAAGCAGCGTGTCTCATGTTCCTGCGGAATCAGCCGGTCTCCTCAGGCAGAGCCATCCCCGGCCCCTCCTGACTCCACCCCTGGGGTGCTAATAGTGCACCTGCTCCTGGTGCTTGTATGAAGCACTGCTGTGCCCAGGGCTTCGCGCCCTGGCGTATCCCTGCTGCGGGCAGGCTTCACCCTCCTCACTCATTTTCACCCCTGCTTCCATGAGCCCTGTCTGATTGCTTCACACAACGCACAGTCAGCCTGTGGAACTCTTTGCCAAAGGATGTTGTGAAGGCCAAGACTATAACAGGGTTCAAAAAAGAACTAGATAAGTTAAGGGAGGATAGGCCCATCAGTGGCTATTAGCCGGGATGATGGCCTGAGCTTCTGTTTGCCAGCAGCTGGGAATGGGCGACAGGGGATGGATCACTTGATGATTCCCTGTTCTGTTCATTCCCTCTGGGGCACCTGGTACTGGCCACTGTGAGAAGACAGGATACTGGGCTAAAGGGACCTTTGGTCTCACCCAGCATGGCCGTTCTTATGTTATGTTCTTGGCAAAGTGCTTGGGAACCCCGCGGGGACAAGCCAGTGCTGCCGAGAGGGGCCAGTCCCACAGCCCTGGCCCAGAAGCTCTCTCCGAACGATGCACCCTGCCTTCTGCCAAGTGCCTCGCCCTGCCCTGGGAGAAGCAGGTTTGTGGTGGAGGGTGGGGTTCAGACTCCATGGGCTGAGAAGTCCTTTGCCTCTGATGAAGCTGCCACAAGGGGGCCTATTGTAGCTGCAGGCAGAGGACTCAGCTGGGTGCTCTTTCCCCTCCCAGTTCGTGGCCGCTCCCAGCGTGGCTAGAGTCTGAGTGGGGCTGGGTAAAGAATACCCATCCAAACACCTGTTAGTCAGTGCCCCAGCCATGTGCATTGTGACATTACCTATATCGTGGCAGAGCCGAGCAGCCCCAGTTGTGGCCCAGGACTTCGTTGTGCTAGGCGCTGTATGCACACAGCCCCAGTGACCTCACAGTTGAAGGACAAGACGAGAGGTAGACAGAGGACCAGAGCTATGGCCTGGAGGCATGTATGGGACAGGAGCCTGTCAGCAGATCATCCTGTCCCTGCTAAAACCCTGCGGGGAAGGAAATTCATCCACATTCTAGGAGTACGTCTACGCTCCAGAGAAAAACCCACACCACCAAGTCTCAGAGCCCAGCTCAATTGACTTGGGCTTGCACTACAGGGCTTAAAACAGCAATGTAGATGTTCCTGCTTGGGCTGGAGGCTGGGATCCGAGCCCCTTGCTGGGATTCAGAGCCCAGGCTCCAGCCGGAGTGGGAAGTTCTGCATTGCTATTTTTAGCCTTGTGAGCCTGACTCCTTTGACCTGGGCTCTGTGATGTGGCCTTGCAGGTTTTTCTTTGCAGTGTCGAGGTCCCCTGCGGGACTTGTGAACGATGCTTCCCCAGAATGAGAACCTCTCCCAGGCTGGGATTCTGAACTGCCAGGAATCTCCCATCCCCTCCGGCCCTGTCCTGACAAGCCCACCCCCTGCCCATCACCACAGAGTCTGGGCACCTCCCGTGGCAGATTGACAGCAGTAGGGAAGGCCTTGGGGTCTATGGAATCTCAGGCTCCTTCCTCGGTGGGGGAGGGGTTTGGGGTGAGTTGGTTTATTTTGGGGTTTTGGGATGGGGCTGCTCCTTCCCTGATCACTCGAGGTTTGGGGAGAGCTGGGGACTAAGGGGTTTGGAGTGAGGGGGCACATCGAGAGCTCCACTCCCAGGAGATACAGGCTGGTGGAGTCATGCACTGGGGACTGTCTCTGGAGCATAGCTGGGACCTGACGGGGGGAGGTACAGCACAGGGGATGGGAAGCCCAAGCCATGGCTGCATGGGGCTGAGCGCCTGATGTGCTCTCCCTGTGCAGACTCAGACGAAGAACTCTGCTATTATTACGACAATGATGGGGAGTATTACGAGGATGAGGAGGAGAAGTGGGACGATTTCAACAAGGAGTGCGATGCAAAGACTGACGAAGACTCACTCCCTGGCACCTTCTGTGGCTTCAGGAAATCCTTCCTGTGCAAGGACACCTCACCAGCTCCCCCGCCCCAGAAGTCGATGGACTATCAACTGCTGGACCTGAAATTGCCCCAGAGGCAGCAGGTGACCGCAGAGGTGAGCCGAGCCCCAGGGTCATCCTCCCCAGTGGGTCCGTGTAACAGGGCGTACAGGGCCCCCTTTGCTCCTGCCCCTGCTCTGCTCCAAAAACCACTCAGAGACCTTCTGGCTCAGCAATCACGGGTGCAGTTTATTTACAGCGTGAAACCCCACCACCTTCTCACCATATACAGCTTGGAGGCTTCAGTCTGAAGGACTTCCCAGCCTTTGCATCCAAGAGAGAAGAGCTCCCACTCTCTGGCTTCCCCCGTTTCTGTCTGCCCCCCATTGGCTTCCTTCCTCTGAGGCTTTTATGTACCCCCAGGCTAATCAAGCTGGCAGCTGTTTCCCCTTTGCCAATCATGCAGAGGCTTCTCTAGCCAGCTCCAATTTATCTCCTGTAATGGGAGCTGGTGTGACGGAGGGCTAGCTCAGCAGTTTGTGCCTGGCACCCTGTCACAGTCCCCTGGAAGCCCCACTGTGGCCAGGGCTGGATGGGGCCCTCCATGTATTTCCTAAGGGCTTTGTCCACTGTGGTGCCTCCTGGATCTCTGCCAATCCTCCGCGGGAGAACCTGCTGGTGGTGTCCTGGCTGCAGATCAGAGTGGACAGAACCTGGGGGAAGGGGTGGGGATTGTCAGCGCCACCTTTGACCAGCCTGTGGGGCCGCTGCTGAGCAAGGATGTAGTACTGCTTCTCTAGGAACAGAGCAAGCTGGCCTCGGACTTCGCCAGGGTGCAGACCGGGATCCCCATCCCGGATCAGCCCAGGGCTCCACGGAGCCCATCTCCAGCTGCTGCAGAGCAAGGTGCAGAAGCCCCTGCAGTAGCGGGGGTGAGAGAACCTGCCCCAGGGAAAGCTTCCTAGCTGTTAAGGCCAGAAGGGAGCATTGGACCACCCAGGGATTCCTGCATCCAGCCCCAGATGGTTGGCTGAGCTAGAGCCTCTCTCAGAAAGTCACAGAGTGCACCGTGTCCCTGCTGAAACAAGTTAGTCTGAATTTATCTTGCTTCGGCTCCTAGCCACTGGCTCTCTCTGCCCTTGTGTACTCACACCGTGGGTTCTCAGAAATCTCCTCCCCGTGGAGGAGGTGCTCGTCGTCCCCTCAGAACTCTTTCTTGGATAAGCTGACTAGACTGAGCTGCTTCAGCCTCTCCCGAAGGTCAGCCCTCAGAGCATCCTTGCAGCGCTTTTCTGATCCGTTTCCAGTTTGTCACCATCCCTTTGAAAGCGTAGACTACAGCCATGGGACTGCTGTCCCAGCGAGGGTCGCACGAAAGCTGCAGACAGACATGTTACCACCTCCTGGCTCCTGCTCGCCACCCCTCTGCCTGCCCATCTACGGGCCACGCTCCCCACTTACAGCCAGCATGGCACTACCAGGAGCACATGTTTAGCTGCCTGTCTACCATGGCTCCTTGCTCTAGACCTTGGTTCTGCTCTCACTGCAGTGTGATTTCCTGTGGGGGAAGGGGTCCTTCTCACAGCTGCCACCCCTAGCTGATCATCACCTGTGATCTCCTGGGGGATAGGGACTCTCAGTTCCAGTGGTGTGCCCCTGCTCCCAGTTGGGAAGGGCTGGCTGCTGGGTGGGGGCTGTGCCCAGCTGGCGTGGTTCTCTTCCCAGGAAGCGGAGAAGAACGCCAAGGAGCTGGTAGCTGAGGAAGAGCGAGTTAAAAGGAAAGCAGAGAAGAAAAGACTTAAGAAGAAGGTGAGTGCCCGGAGCTGTGCTCTCCACTCCTGCTGCTGTCCCAGCCACCTGGCATGCCTGCTTCCTCCTCTCCATTCTCAGCCTGGCCGGTGACCCCAGGGGATGGGGTGTGCATCTCGCCAGCATGCCACACCGGTGACGGCGCTTGCCTCCCCCCCAACAGCGCAAATGCCATTCTCCCACCCCCAAGGGCAGGGAGCTGTGGCCAGGAGCCTGTGGCCAGGAGATGGGTTTGTTTGGGGTCCATACCAGGTCTGTTGGTAAAATGGATGGATAGCAAACTCTGCCTCTGTCATGCCAACGAGCCAAGGGCCCTCTGCTGGCACTCAAATCCGGGGTCTCCCAGCCTGGCTCCTGACAGATCCGGGTGCAGGGATTCCAGCTGTGGGGAGACCTTCCCCTTGTTCCCTGTCCAGCCAACCAGCTGTGCTGCACAGCCTGATGGATCCTCTGGAGGGCAAACTTCTGTTTTCTCTGCTACCCAGTTGCCCTGTGTTTTGAGCTCTTCAGCTCCATCTCTCAGTCTGTGGGAAGGGGGCTGTGTCGAGTTCAGTCCCCTTCTTATACTCCTAGAGTAGACTAGTGTAAAGCAGTCCCATAGAAGAGGGGTGGTGTGTCGGGTAGATTGTATGGAGTCTGGGGCTATCACTGAGCTTGGGATAAGGGATGTCTCTTGGCTCATGCAGCAATCGCACGCATTGGTGGGAATCTCTGGTTAGTGTGGAACAGGGAGTGCTGGCCAGGCTCTACTGGTGCCTTCTCTTCCCTGAGGTCCTCTCTTGCCCAGGCCCCTAGCTCCAGGCTGCAAGCCAGGAGTTCAGCCTGCCCTGCATCTAGGCTCTGCAGGACAACCTGTCTCAGTTCCGTTCCCCTTGCCAGAGGAGCCTGGCTGGCTGCCCTGCTCCCCACAGAACCTGCCCTGGAGGTCCCTTGGGGGTGTGTGGTGCTGGGTGGCCCCCAGCCCCAGGAGGGTGAGCTGACTCTGCTCTACCAAATGTGTCAGCAGTGACTCGGAAGTGCAGCCTTCCCCGGGAGGGAACGGGGTCAGAGCCCCTGGCTGGGGAAAGCTTCAGCTCTCTGGAGCTCCACTCTTTTCTCTGTGGCTTCCAGAGGCAGAAAGATCGGAAGAGGCAAGAAAAACTAGAACAAGAATTGAAGCCCAAGCCCGAGATGAAGTTGGTAAGTGGCTGGGTGTCATGGAGTCCCCGGGCGATGCTCTGAAATTGCTCCCTACATAGCCAGTCAGGACTCTGGGGAAGTCTCCTTTCTGGGAGCAGACTGTCTGCAGGACACACAGCTCACCTGGCTTCCCCCTTCCTGGGTCTGACCTCGGAGCATTCAGCTTCCTCTGCCCCTCCGTGCGCTTCCCCCAGCGAGTCCGCCCAGGCGGGGTCCTGAGGAAGCCAGAGGGTCCTGCCCCCCAAGTCCGCAGACAGACGTGACTCTCAGCCAGCCAGTAAAACAGAAGGTTTATTAGACGACAGGAACATGGTCTAACATAGAGCTTGTAGGTGCAGAGAACAGGACCCCTCAGCCGGGTCCATTTTGGGGGGCCGTGAGCCAGACAACCCCGTCTGCCCTTCACTCCATGTCCCAGCCAGACCCAAAAACTGAAACTCCCTCCAGCCCCCCTCCTCTGGGCTTTGTCCCTTTCCCGGGCCAGGAGGGCACCTGATTCCTTTGTTCTCCAACCCTTTAGCTCTCACCTTGCAGGGGGGAGGGCCCAGGCCATCCGTTGCCAGGAAACAGGGTGTCAGCGATTGTCTGTGTCCAGACCCCTGCACACACCTGCCCTCCAGGGCTCTGCAACGATCATACATCCTTATCCTACCCCCTAGAGACTTAAGAACTGCACAAGGGAAACTGAGGCACCCCCACACTATTCAGAGGAAACATTAAGAACAGTCCCACTTCGTCACAGCTGGGATGCGCCTTGCTCTCCGGGCAGCCTGCCCTGTCATCCCCGGGCTTGGGAGCGGGGCTCAGAGCCACGTTTCTGAGGCGCAGCGCTCGTGGTTCCTGTGTGTCCGAGAAGAGGAGGGGCTGTAACCTGTGAGTGCTGGGCTGGGCTGGGCTCTCCCCTCCCCTCCCAGGGGAGTCTGGCGGGCGGGTGCCAGGTGGCAGAGCCTTGCCATCCTGGGGAAGCTGCCGGCAGAGCTCTGATCTCACGGGCTGGTGCTCTCCTTGCAGAATGAACCTTGTCTGAATGGTGACGCGGAGGAGGAAGGCGCCATGACATCATTGCAGAGGGGGACCCTGGACTCTAGCTCCTCCCGGAGAGATCCCAGCGAGGCCCCAGCTCCTAGGAGAGGGGAGGGAGCCAGGGCCCAGGACAGGAGTGCAGACATGAGCACCGAGGAGGAGACGGAGGTGAGGCTTGGGTGTGCTGGGCTGTGGCCCTGTCCTGCTTTTGTGCAGGGCCCGGTGCTCACCCGGCCTGCCTAGACAGAATGGCTGGGCTGTGAAAGTCCGGGTCAGCTGGCTCGGTGATGGCTGGGGGTCAGGGACCAAGGCACCCGCTGCCTCTGGGGCCAGGTGTCTTCTGGTCGTGCAACCCGTAGGGCGTGACGTGGCATACTGTTGTATTGATGTCCCTGCTCACCCAGCCTGACACCCGTGTCCCCCTCCCCCAGGATGAGCTGGACTTGAGCAGCACCTTTGTCTCCAAAGCTCAGCGTAAGGTGGGTGTGAAGCCACTGACGCCCAGGAAGGAGAAGGTGCCCAGAGCTGAGCACAAGGAGCCGGACAGGAAGCCCCAGCAGGAGGTGAGCATTGGGTTTCTGGGCAGACACCTCCCTCTGAGTGGGCTGGGTTGGGTGAACGTCTCTCAGCCATGGGGCGGAGGAGGGAGATCCCTGGCTGCCCCAGTGGGTCTGATTAGTGCCAGCGTCTGTGTCCTCTTGGAGTGGGGGCACTTGTCCTCTGAGCACCCGGCTGAGCCGCCCTCCCAACAGTGAGCTGTGACGGGCCTGGCTCTGGACTCTGCAGGCTGCCCACCCTCTTGTGCCTGGCCACGCTCCTCTGGCTCCACCCCCCTTGGTGACGTGCTCCCCCGTGGTCCTGGCCTAACACAGACTTCCGGGCTGACTCTCAGCTGCTGAGCCCCATAGGACCAGCCTGGAGGGGATTTCCCACCACTGGGGCAGGGGCTGCAGATTCACTCCCCGCCGCTGAAGGGCTTTGGGAAGTGCTCGGAGCCTCGCTGGGCTCCAGTGAGTGGAACCAGCAGATGGGCCAGGTGATCAGCAGTTCTGTGAGGCCTGGCTGGCACCGGGGTTGAGCTCTCGTGTTTGTCTGCCACACCCATAGCCCTTGAGAACGGTCTCGTGACTCTTCAGGGAAGGTTCTGAGGTAGCCAACCTTCCCTGGAGTGAGCTGAGGCCAGCTGGTGAGGGAGGAGTAGAGCCAGCCTGGGGCTCTGCCTGGGACTGATCTAGGCTGTGTCCTGACGGGGCCTGTTCTCTATTAGCAGGCAGGGCTCTTGGCCCTGAGGCCTCGGCTCACAGCAGTGCAGGGACAAGACAGCTCTGGGTCCCTCCTGGGAGGGGTGCTTTCCATTGGCTCTAGCATCCTGCTCCTGCTCCAGGACACTCCGCGATCACCCTCCATGTCCCCAGTGCCTTTCAGTGTGTCTCAGAGCACCTCTGCACCAGATCAGACTGGACCGCTGCTGGAGTGTCTGGGCTCCGCGCGGCAGAGGGGCCGGGGCTCGCCGGGGGCACAGGACCATGGCACAGGACCCTCCTCATGGCCACCTGCTCAGCCAGAGCCAGGCTGTCCCTGCAATGTGCTGCTCACCCAAGGCAGAGTGAATGGAGGGGTTCTGCCCCAGGGCACATCCCCCTGCCTGCTCCCAGGGAAGGGGAGCGTCTCTCTGGGGAAGGACGTGGCTTCTCGAGAGCCCTGTCTGTGGGGGAGACTCTGGTCCTCTCTGTTATGTGCTGACTGCAAGTGGGGAGCGTGGAGGGGCTGGTGGAGGAGGCGGTGGGATGTGGGGCTAAGAGGAGGAGGAGGAAAATCAGGGGCAAGTGCAGGCGGAGCTGGTCAGCCCCCTGCTAGGTCACCTGCCCTTCGCGTGACGGGGCAGAGGCAGGGCAGGCTCTGCCCCACGACCCAGCCGTGAGCACTGCAGGGGGAGCCAGCGGGGAAAAGTGGCAAGTGATCTGCGGTGTGACCCTGGCCTAGGACATCTGGGCCCCAACAGCCCATGCTGCCTCCCGGGGCCGGTGTCCGGGTCAAGGCCAGGCTGGAGTGTGCCGGGGCTGCTGCTGGGAGCAGCCAAAGCGTGCGGTGAGCGGCGACAGACATGGGCCCAGCATGGGGTGTCAGGTTGCAGAGTGAATGGGGGAAGGTGTGGGGCAGCCCCATGGCAAGCTGCTGTGCAAGCAAGCCATACCTGCCTGCAGACCCAAGGCTCAGGGGAGCCTGGCTAAAGCGAAGAGCAGGCTAACGGTGCAGCGTCTCTCCCAGCCAGCCCAGAGGCCCTGAGTGAGCAGGAAGCTGCTCAGTTGCTTGTTCGGTTGGCGCTAGGAGAAGGTGGGTCCCCACCCCAGCCAGCGCACTCAGGCCTCTCGTCCTGCGACCTGCTGGGCTTGGCTCCTAGTGGAGTTGCGGCGGCTGGGGAAGCGGAGCCCCCCATGGGGAGAGGTGGGGCCAGTTCCAGCTGCACCCGTTCTCCTTGGCAGCGCTGGGGCGGCTGAAGGAAGTGGGTCCGTCTGCGTGTCTCTCTGGAAGGTGCCTAGTTCTGGCGCATGGCGCCCCCTCGGGGCAGGGGGCCCAGGCCTGTCTGAGAACGATCGAATGTGCAAATCCCTGTCAGGCAATCAGAGTGGAAGGATTTGCACCCTGCCTCGGTGCTGTGCGTGCGCAGAGGGACAGCCCCAGCCGGTGGGCGTGTGGGGAATTGGCTAGCAGAGCTGTGCCAGAGCAGCCCGGGTACTGTGATGACGGGCTCAGTGCCTAGGTGCCAGCCAAGAATCCCAGCACGGGAGCTTTGGGCGCAGGCTGGGTGAGGCGGGAAGGGCTGGGTCGTTGTGTGGATTGCATCCCGGCTGATCTCACAGGGAGGCTAAACTGTGCCCTAGGGGACGGGCTGGGCTGGGTGGGGGTGGGCAGGATTGGAGTCGCTGATGTCTTTGCATGGTGTCTGGGCATGGGGCAGAAATGTGCTGGAAAGTGACAGCTGAAGGACTTCCAAAGGCACCTTGTTGCCACAGCCCTGCGCTTCCCCAGAGCTGTCCTGCGGCATGGGGGCCTGGCCCCACCTAGCCCACACAGACACCCCCACGCTCTGGTGCAGGCCATTCGCTGCAGAGACGGTAACTGGGAGGCAGAACCGGGCTGGGCTGGCTGGTCCCTGCGGGCTGCCTGGGGTGGGAGGTTGGAATTGCCTGCCATTCACGGGACTGGCTTGGGGAACTGCTGGTTTTCAGAGCTGGGGGCCCTGTGTGAGTCACAGGCCCAGAGGGGGGGGAGGGCTTGGTGGGTTGCCCCCAGCCTTGGCCAGTTCACCCCTCAGGGCCAGGGCATGCGGCACAAAGCCTTCAACTTGGGCAGAAAATATCCCCTTCCCCTTCTGGCCAAGGGGAAAGGCCAGGGTGTGAGCGTGCTCCACGCTGCCCTTCAGAGCCCTGTCCCTGACCCCTGCTGCCTGCGCTGGTCACGGCAAGACGGGCAGCCTGTGTGGGCAGGGGGAGGTGTCTTCCAGTGGTGGGGGTTTCGGGTTTTCCCCTGCACGCCAGAGGCTCTGCTGGGGCTGCACCGTGGGGGGCCCCGCAGCAGTGAGGCTGGGTGGCGGCCGTTGCGGGACCCCAGCCTTGCGGGTCCTCCTGAGTTGTGTCCGTCCCTCGGTAGGGAGCATAGCAGTTCTTTGCTGTGTGTCCTGACCCCGGGGCAGCTCTCCGGCCATGGGCTGGAGACATTGAGAATGTCCTGGAGGTGCCTGGTGCCGCCCAGGTTCTCTGGGCAGAGACAGGTCTCCTAAGGGCCCCTGCCTCCTCCCACTGCTGCACCCCAAGGTGGTCAGCACTGCTCGGCCTGAGAGAGCTCCTTGGGGCAGGTGGGTGGGGAGCCCCGGACCCCGCTCAGTGAGACCGACTGACTGGTTAGAGTGGTTCCTTGAATGATGCTGCCGGTGGGGGGCAGTGCCAGCAGGGGGGAATTGGTGTAACCCGGTCCCCCTCGCTGCAGTCTGAACGGGAGATGGGGCGTCCCCAGGAGGAGCTGTAATGCACGCAGCGCCCTTCCCGTGCCAGAAGAAAGCAGCCTCCTGGCGCCGAGGCCGGGCAATCAGCGATGTCGGCTCTGTGGCAGTGTTGGGACGGGTGACTCCGGCCCGGGGCAGCGTGTGCTGCGGGGACGGGGTAACTGTCCCTGCTCTCGCCAGGGGCTGAATTCCCGCGTGGTCTGTGCCCAGCACCAGCCCGTCTGCTAGGCGGCTCAGGCGAGCGGGCTTCCCAGCCTGCCCCTCAGCTCCTGGGGGAGGCTGGCCTGGCAGCACCGCAGGTGTACCCCATGCACTGTGCTGCAGCCTCTCCCCCCTCCAGTGCCCCCCCACTCAGCCGAGCTGCCCCACACGTGCTGCCCAGCTGAGCGCTCGCCTCCTGCCGGGCCCGGGGGGTGAGCCCAGCTGCCCTGGCCCTGGCAGCCCAGCCCTCACCATGTTACTTGGCTCCCTGTGCAGGTGCCGAGGCCTGGGCAGGACGGGAGGGGAGTGGATCCCAGCACAGTGCTAGCAGGTCAGTGTCCCCCGCCCCCCACAGGCCCGGCCTTCCCACACCCAGCAGAAGGGGTCTGGGGCCGTGGGGCCGGACAAGTGGCCACGCCTTTCCTGTGCCAACCTGGCTCCGCCCTGCTCACTCCTGATGCGCAGTCCCCCCATCCCAGCCCTGGGCTCTCCCCTAGGTCTGCTGGTGCCCCTCAGTCCCGACCCGCAGCCCCTGATAGCCCAGCCCTGAGCAGGCACGGCCCTTCCTAGAGCCCTGGCGTCAGGGATGCATTAACCCTTTCCTTCCCAGCCTCGTTTCCCTCCCTCTGGCCCATTCCCCACTGCATCCCGCTTGTCCCGTGGTGAGTGATCTCCATGTAGGTGCCAGGCAGGCACGGGCACCCGAGCCAGCCCCACCCTGGAGGCCTGCCTAGGCTGCATGGGGTTCAGTAATGCAGTGCCTGTCTTGGTGACCCTGTTCCCTTCCTGCAGGTTATGGGAACGAGGCGGCAAAGCGGAGCTGCTTCCAGGAGGCCGTGTTCTTCTTCACTGAGGCTGTCAAACTCAACCCTCGGGAGCACAGGTAGGAGCGCTGGGCAGGGCTCGGGGCGGGGGGGCTCACTGGGGAGGGGGCAGAGTGTTTCTCTCTCAGGGTGGGGGGATGCTCTGGTGTGGGGCTGGGGGAGTGTTTCTCTCGGGGGTGTGCTCTTTGGGGAAGGGCTGGGGGGAGTGTGTTTCTCTCATTGGGAGGTGTGGGGGGTTCTCCATGCCAGAGGCGGGCTGGTAGTCCGTGCAGCCCCCTCCTAGCCCTGGCTCTGTATCCCCAGCCTGACTCCCTCTGTGCCTGCACGATCTGCTGGAGCCTCAGCCCCACACAGGCCCAGCGCTGCCGGGCGCTTTGGGGCAGGAGCAGGCAGCAGGGTTTGGCCCAGGCTCGCTGACCGGCCCAGTGCCAGTGGGCACTTTGGGGCTGGGGCAGGAGCGGGCAGCTGGCCTTGGCCCAGGCTCGCTGACCGCGCTCTCCCTGCAGGCTCTTCGGGAACCGCTCGTACTGCTATGAGAGGATGCAGCAGTACGACAAGGCCCTGCGTGACGCCCACGTGGCCCTGAGCCTCCTGCCCGGCTGGCCCAAAGGCTTTTTCCGCAAGGGCAAGGCCCTCATGGGGCTGAAGGTACCTGGGTGTGTGGGGTGGGCGCCAGGGCTTGAATCCCTGCCTGGCCCTGCTGGTCAGGGAGATGGGGGGCCCTCTGAGCGAGCAGCTCATGGGAGTGGGAGCCAGGTCTAAGTGAGGTGGGGGAGGAGGCCCCTACCCTGGCCCCTGGGGTGCAGGGCCAGGCTCAGGGGAAGGGGACAGGTGCCTGGCCCTGTGGGGCAGGGAGGCGCTGGGCCTGGAGGGGGTGGCAGTGAGTGACTGCCTGGCTCTCCCCAGCGCTACGCTGAGGCCAAAAGCACCTTCCTGGAGCTGCTGCAGCTGGACAGCTCCCATGCCGACGCAGCCACCCAGCTGGAAGTCTGCCAGGTGCAGCTCATCCTGGTGAGTGTCCCTGCTGTCTACACGGGGGTGGGGACAGGCCCTCCAGCCGTGGGCACAGCGTGGCCTGAGCGATTGTGGGGTGGGGTGGGCTGGCTGGCTTGGGCCCCGTGGGAGCCACCCCTGCAGGGGACAGAGCGTGAGACAGGAATAGTCTCTGCCTGCTGGGCAGTAGGGAGTCCCCTGCGTGCTGGGACATCACTGGGGCCCTGCTCATCTCTGGGAGGATCGCCCCTCCCAGGCTGGGGGCTCTGGCTGGGACAGACAGCCCTGCAGCCCCCTCCCTGGTCTAGGCTGCATGTGCTCAGAGCCCCTGCGGTGGTCTGGCAAGGCTGGGAAACTTTGCCAGGGGCCTCTCCCTGCGGGGACCACCCTGGGTTGATTTGATGTGCAGGGGCCCAGATACCAGGGTGATGGTCAGCAGAATCAGAGCCCTAGCTCGCTAGCTGGGGAAAGATGAGTGGGGCTGGGCTGCTGACCTGCTCCCCTCCTGACAGGAGAACGGCTTCAGCAGCTTTAGCGGTGAGAGGAGCCTGCTGGTGGAGCCGTCGCTGGGAGCCACAGAGTCCCAGCCGGCGGGGCCTGGTAAGGGCACAGGGGCATGGGGACCGTTGGGTGTGGAGCTCCGCTTCCCTGCGGAGACCTGGCTTGGGCCCAGTCTTCCTCGGGGAACCAGTAAGAGTTGGGAGCGGGAAGGCTGCAGGCTGGGACTGAGGGGCAGGGGCTGCGAGTCGGGAGTGAGGGGCACTGGCAGAGCGGTGTGGGGATGGGGGAGCAGGGGGCTGCGGGTTGGGCTTGAGGGGCAGCTCGGGGTTGAACTGCCAGTCCCCCAGCCATCAGTTTGCCCCTCTGCAGTGTCCCCGCTGGGGGGGCCGAGTCTTCTGGGCAGCTCCTGAGCAGCCTCCAGCTTGTCCCTGCCTCTGGCCGAATGGCCCTGTGCCTGCAGAGCGGGGGTGTGCTAAGCTCTGCCTGTCCCCCCAGGTGAGCAGGCCAGGAGCTGGTCCCTGGGCAGCAGTGGTTACGCCGTGGGGGACGAGGATGGGGAGAGCGGGTTTGTGACCATCACTAGCTCGCGGAGCCGAGGGAAAGGCCCAGCCCAGCAGGGGCTCCGGGCCAGCAGCAGGGAGACCCCAGCTAGCACCAGACACCCTGTAGCCACTGTGCATCAGGCCAGGTAATGGGGCGCCTGGGAAATGGGCTGTGGGGGGAAACAGGCTAGTGTCCTGGATGCATCTCTGGCTATGGTTGAGGAGGGATCCGGGCCCTAAGCAGAAAGCCTGCTAGGCCTGGGGGTGGGGCAGGCGCTGGGCCCTGAGCAGAGAGCCAGGTGGGCCTGGGGGTGTTGGGAGGGGGCAGATGCTGGATCCAGGGGGTGGGGCAGGAGCCTGAGGGCATAGTGGAGGCGCAGGTGTTGGGCCTGGAGGCGGGGAGGGACAGGTGCTGGGCCTGGGGGTGCAGCAGGGGGAGTGGGTGGTGGGGTGGGGGCGGCACTCGTCGGCCCGCTGGCTCCTGGTGCTCGGGGTGAGGCTGGCGGGTGGGTGACCGCCGTGCTGTGTGCCTTTGGCAGGGAGTGGTACGCTGTGTGGGTCGGGAACGTCACCCCCAGGATCACCCAGAAGTTGCTGCGCAGCTATTTTGAGGCGTGAGTGATTCTCCTCCCCCGTCCCCCCCATGCCCCCAAGCTGTCTGGGCAGGGCACGGTGGGGCGGGGCGGGGCTGGGGTGGAGCCTGGGCCCTCAGGCATAAACCCTGCCCTGCCCTGCCCTGCCCTGCTGCTTTCTGTCTCCTGCCAGCCCATCCCTCCCCTGCTGGGGCTGCCTTGACCCCTGGCCCTGCCCCTAAGCTGGTGCCCCTCCAGGCCCTGCCCCCCAGTCCCGCTGGTGCTCCCCCACGTTGCCTTGGCTAGCAAGCACCACATGCCCGGGGCTGCCCCAGAGCCAGCCTGGGGGCTGCCCAGTCAAAGGAGTACTGCCTTCTGGGCCACAGCCTCTCCCCTCTGGCTGCAGCGTGGGGCCGGGGAGCCGTGCCTGTCTTGAGGCCCGCGTCAGCCTGCCCTCCCTGGAGTAACCCGGCCGACCCAGGGCCCTCTCGCTGACTCCAGCTCCCTGCTGCCGACGCAAGAGTCCCTCGTGTCGGCTGCCCCGTGCCTGGAGAGCCTGGGGCTGGTCCCGGCGGGGGCTGCGTGGGGGCAGCAAGGCTGAGCCCGCTCTGCTCGGCAGGTATGGGCCCATCCACTCGGTGCGGATGCTCCCGGAGAAGTACTGCGCCTTCATCAACTACACCAAGAAGGAGGCTGCGGAGGCGGCCTACGGAGCCCTGCAGGTCAGGCCAGGCCTGGGGAGAGGGTCGGGGGTACTGGCCCACGTGGCTTGGCAGAGGCTGCTCTGGGCCAGCAGGCCACACTGATGCCAGCCATCAATGCAGCCTGGTGGGCAGCAGGCAGGACTGGTCATGGCAGGGGCTCAGCTCCCCTAGGGCCAGGCCTGCTGTGCCCAGGGGGAGCCGCTCTTCTCCTGGCCCACTTGTCCTGCCTCTCTCTGGCTGGGGGGCCCCGCCCGAAGGCTCGTCTGGGGCTCTCCCCCATGGAGACAGGGCCCCACTCGGGTTCTGTCATTCCCCCACTCCTGCCCCCGGCACACACTCTGCTTGGAGACTTGCCCCAGTCAGTGCCTGGTGCTGAGCCCAGCTCTGGGTGAGCTGAGCCCTCTCCTCACTCGGCTTGAGCCAACCCTCCATGCCCTGTGCTCATGCCGGGTCGTCTGCACAGGGCCTGTGCCAGCAACACCCGCTTGGTGACACCAGCCTGGGTTTGTCTGCCCTGCCTGCGGCCTCTCCCCCAGGGCCCTCCTGCCCCACAGCCCAGGGCCTCCGTGTTCTCCTAGATCCCTGCCTTGCTGGAGTGTCTCCTGCTGTGCTGTGGTGCCCTCCCTGCACTGCTCCTTGGCAGCGCTGCGAGCGCCCCGCCCCACGGGGATGGCCTGTGCTGACCGGCCCCTTTCTCCCCAGGGGGCCGAAGTGGAAGGAACCAAGTTTGTGCTGCAGCTGAAGCACCCTGACCATGCAACCCCGGCCCCTGGTAGGGCTGGCCCTGGCAACGGCCCGCGGCCTGTGGGGAGGTAGGTGCTGCCCTTGGGAATGGGAATCCTGGAGCCTGCAGTGGGGCACGAGTGGGCAGGGGCCTTCCTGGCTGTCTGCAGTGCCCCCCTGCTCTGGGACTGCTGGGTCATGGAGTTGAGCAGCTGAAGCGAGGCTGTCCCAAGGCCTGAGGAGTTGGGCCCCTGCTGGTGCCCCGCGGAGGGGTCTGCCCAGTGCCCCTCCAGGTGCCCTGGCCCTGCTTGGCTCAGGCTCGGAGGAACCCGCCCCACCCCTCCAGTGCCAGCCTGGATTATTTCCCCAGTGGGGTTCTTGGGATGCTTCTTTGGAGCCATGGCCTGTTACTGCCTTGGCATGATGCCATCACTAGTGGCATCGCAGCCCAGGATCTCCTGGACGGGGGGCTGGAGCTCTGGGCTGTGCATGTATGGGGGATGGGCTGATGAGGCATATGCCGGCTCTGGACCCTCTGTGTGTGCCCACAGGGAGCCAGTGCGAGTGCCCCCCACCCTGGAGTGCCATTTCTGGCGGAACGCCGGCTGCAGCTACGGGGCCGACTGCCGTTTCCGCCACCTGCCCCAGAGCAAGGGGCTGGACAAGAAGCTGGCTCAGCACTAGGGCCCTGCCCTGGCCCCATCATTGCAGGGGTCTGGAGGCCGGATGTCCCCAGGCTGACAGCTGGCTCCTCCCTGGCCATGCTGCCTCGTGGGCACAGAGTGACTGGATGGCTACCATGCTGGGCCTTCCCAAGGCCCCTCCAGCTGCTGCCTGTTGCCTACCTGTGGCCCAGCACCAGCCAGTGGGCATCACCCGCCCCGGGGTAGGACTGGACTCGCTGCTGTGTGGATGGGGACTCTGGCTGGCTGTGCTGTGGGTTCCCCTTCCCTGGGAAGGAGCCATGCAAGCTGCCCCCCCCCCCCCGGGACTGCCTTGGGGTTGGTTGGCCTGGAGGGAATCGCTGGGCCTCTCCTGGCAGGGAGGGCTGGAATTCAGGGCCCTGCCCGTGGCCCAGTGGGGGCACTGTGCCCCACATCTATGGGGGCACTGGAGCTGGCTGCAGACCCCTTTGCCTTATTATGGAGTGAGGCCTGTGGGGACTACAACTCCCAGCATGCAGTGGAACCATGCTGTTGGGATGAAGGGCATTGTCATGCTGGGAGTTGTAGTCTCCACCCCCCAGGCTGCTCTTCCATGGCTATTTCATACCAAAAATTGTCCCGGGGCAGGTTCCTGCCTCAGCCATGCTCTCTCCTTCCTGCCTTCTGATTGGCTGAGCCCTGGGTCTGTTACACTGACTCTGCCCTGCTAGGGCCTGTCTGTGCGGCGAGGGTTTGCTCCCTCTGAAGCACTGTTGGCAGACAGGACACTGGGCTAGATGGACCATTGGCCCGACCCAGTCTGGCCGTTCTTCTGTAGCTCTTTGTGGGGGGCTGGCTGGGTGGGGAGCATGGCCCAGGGTCAGGGTTGGGCTGTGGCCCCAGTCCATAGAGCCGCCCCCGGTTCCACTTGGGCTTTTAACATTGTCCCTTTGTTTTTGGAACATCCCTCTGTCCTCGGGGCTAACCTATGCCACCCCATACAGAGCCCCACAGGCCTGGGCCAGCCCCTTGCTCCCCTGCCATGTGGTGCTCTCGGCACCGGGCAGGCTGGTCCCAGGTCCCCTTTCGCTCATGTGCAGCGATGCCCCTGGGGCTCTCTGCCCTAGTGCCGGCTTTGTTCTTCGGCTCTGGCCCAGTCTGGCTGCTTTCTGCCTCACCTGTCTCCCACAGCCCTGAGTGCAAAGCCAGCTGGGTACCAGGGAGCTGCCCTGCCCTGCTGATCACAGAGACCAGCTGGCTGCTCTGGGCAGGTGCCGGGCTGTGGGTGGCTGAGGGGCCAGGATCTGCCTGGGGGCGAGGATGCAAACTGACCTGTTATGGCCCTGAGAGCGCCCAGCCTGTGCGTTCAGTGGGTGGGCCTTGCTCCCGGGCTGTGGGGCGGGGAACTCCGCAGAGCTCTTCCCCTGGGCAGCCCCGGGTTTGCAGTGGGTGCGGCGCCCAACGGGAATTTGTTCAGGGATTTGTACCTGCCTGGGGATTTACAGATTGTTCTTAATAAAACTCATTAAAGAACCCACCTTCTCCCTTCCGCCTTCCCACTCTGGCCCTGCTGGCTTCCCCCACCGTAGCCCCCCAGTCCTCTCCTGCATCTGGGAGCGTGTGGAGGAGCCCCGGGCACTGTGTGGGTTGTGCCAGCAGGGGGCGCTGTTCTCCATGGCATGCATGGCAGAGCCACACCTATTCCTGGGGCAGCTGGTGCAGCCTGGCCTGGCTGGCTGCGTCCTGTGCTCGTGGTGGAAGGAAGTGCGGGCTCCCAGCAGGCTGCAGCCAGCACAGGGGACCGTGGTGCCCCCCCCGGCCACGGTAAAGTGAAAAGGGACAAAAGTAGTAACATGGGATAGGCTGGAACGGCTTCTGGGGTGTCGCCCCCGAGCTCCCAGGAGCCTCCCTGTGCTCTGAACACATTTTCCCAGACGCGGTGGGGGCTGGGTGCTCTCCTCTTCCCCAGTCCTGACCCCAGAGCTCCAGTGTGGGGGTGGGGCCGTTTAACCCTCTGGTGCTGTCTGCAGGCGCTGCCCACCGTGGGGACGTGCGTTTGCCACCCTGTCCGTATCTGGAGGATGAACGGGGCAAGGAATCAGAGTCCTGGGGCTCAGTCCCATGGCTCCCCCTTGCTGCCCCATGCCACTGCAAGCTCCATAGCTGGGGCCCGTTGACCCGGGAGCCTTCTCCCACCGCATGTACCTGCACACTGGTGGGCGTGCCCTTGGCTTTGTGCCCGTCCTGCGTGGGGAGCTTGGTGTAGGGCCCCCAAGCAGCGTTCCCCTCGCCCTGCTCTGCATAGGAGATGGAGCTGCCCTTGCCGTGCTAGGGGAGGGGTCGGTGCTAGGTGGTTCTGCACCGCTGGCCTGGATCAGCCGGGCTGTATCAGAAAAGAGCGGGCACCAACTGGGGTACAGGCATTTCCAGCCACTACTGCCACCCAGGGGAAGGACCCATGGAAAGTGGGCAAGTGCAGCGGCGGCTGGGTGGGGTGGGGAGAGACAGGGCTAAGGCTATAATCCTGAGCAAAACACTCTAGTCTGCCAGAAGCCTGGAGACCTCAGGAAGTTGTGCCCCTCCCCAGGGTCGGAGGTGGGGCTGAGGCACTGACTCGGGGCGCGGACAGCCATGTGGCAGAGGGGTGCCAAGGCTTAGAGAGGGGAAACTGCTTCTCCCCAGCTGGGAGGAGCCTGTGGAAGTCGTGGCCACAGGCAGTGATGAGGTGAAGTGCTGAGCAGCGGTGTGAGCGTGAGGCAGTCATGAGTTCCACGAAGAAGCGAGAGTAACTGTCACCTGGTTGACCCCAGCTCTGCCCCTGCCCCTTCCCCTCTGAACTAGGATGTTGAGGAATGTGGTCGAGTCCAGCCTGGGCTGTGAGCTGGCCCCAGCTGAGTCGTGCGTGGCCCTGGGACAGCGCATGGCCTTGGAGTGGCTTGTTCTGCAGCCCCTTCTCCCCATGACGGTACCTCCGCAATGGGATCAAGTGGCCTCAGCCATCCTTGTGACAAGCTAAGCAGAGTGTGCTCTTGCTAGCCGGTGTTTTCTCCAGCTCGAGTCACTGTGGTGGCCCTTTTCTGCACCCTCCCGTTTTACAACTTCCTTTTAAACTGTGGGCACCAGAGCCAGATGCAGGATTCTGGTGTCTGTCTCCCCAGAGCCTGAGTTCCAGAGAGAACCACCTCCCTGCTGCTGCTCACCGCCGCTCTGCAGATCCGTCCACGGAGCCCTCTTTGGCACAGCAGTGCGCTGTCTGCAGTGACCCCAGGATCTTTCTCTGTTGCTGCTTTCCAGGAGACAGCCCGCACTCGGGCCTGTGGTCTCCCTGCCTTGCTCCGAGATGTACAGTGCTGGCTGTATGAAAATGTTCTGTTGGAATGCGCCCAGCTTACCGAGCAATCCAGACCACACTGGATGGCTGCTGTCCTCATTCCCTGCTCCCCCAGTGTGTGTGTCGCATGCAGATTTGATATTTACTTTGACATCGTTGGTGAAGATGTTGGCGTCTTGAGCCTAGTACCACCCCTTGTGGTGCTGCACTGGTATACCGCCATGCAGCGAAGAGTCCCCGGGGACGATTGCTTTTGGAGATGTCAGCCCATTCTTAAACTGTTGAACGTGCGCTCTGTTCAGAGTGGATAGAGCTGATTGTCCAGTCAGAATATTATGCAGTACTGAGACAAATGTCGTACCAAAGTCCAAGTATACTGCATTTGTGCAGTCACCTTTATCAACGAAATCTATAATCTCATCAAAAAATGAAATCAGGTTTGTTTAACAAGCCCTGTTTTCCCTGAAACCACGTTGACGGGTCTTAGTGATACGCCAGCCTTCGTTAGTTAGCTCGTCCCTTATTTTCCCTGGATTTCTGATGTCAGGCCAACCAGCCTACAGTTACCCAGGTCATCCCAGCTCTTTCTGCTTCTTTACAAACAGAAATAGTTATTGAACGCATCTGCCTTTTCTGCACCTTTACAATACTTCTAGCGTTTCCATTGAGTAGTGGGCCTGGACCATTGCTAGGATTTCTTTTGCTCCTAACATACTTTAAACCTTCTTGTCATGCTTGGCCCTGCCAGCTAGAGATTTTTCCCTGGTGTTTTTAGCTTCTGTGATCAGTTATCTCCAGGTCATCTTAATCCATCATAATGAGGTCCAGCATTTCCCCGTGCTGGATGTAATGCTTCTTGTGGTAAAAAGTTATCTAAAACCATCATTAGAGTTTTGAAAATTAACAGCTGGCTGCATGAGATCTCCAGCATGTCTCCTCCAGATTGAAATCCATCAGAGCACCACAACTTGTCTTTCCACGCACTGTTAGACAGTGTTCGAGGTGTAACTCACCTACCCCCCTTGCGGGATCACATCTGCTCTCCCTCTCTGAGTCGGGCCCTGCCTGAGGCCCCTCCCTTTCCTGCAGCACCAGCCCAGCGGGAAGGCCTGGCTGGCTCGTGCCCGCTGCTGAGCTCAGCGCTATGTGAACTCAGAGGGGCCCAGGCTCAGGCTGAGCGCAGGGCATGGAGTTGGGGGACGCAATAAATGGTGGTACCTGATTGTGCCAAGACCGGGGTAGCTGCTGTTGTCTTGCGTCACTGAGGACAGAGCTCCAGCAGGGCGAGCTCTCTGCGGTGGCCAGGGAGAGGTGGGGACTGGACCCATCGGGGCCAAGCACGACATTGATCCTGCCCCGGGCATAGAGCAGTTAACCAAGGTGAACAAACTTGGGTCCATCCCCCCACCCCTTATCAACACAAGGCTCAGCGCCCTCCCCCTCCCACGCCAGCTGGGATTGTTTGTTGCCGTGACAACATTATGGATGCAATAATCATTGCAGGCAGTATCTGTCCCTGTGTCTGTCTGTCTCTCTTCTCCCCCCACCCCCCCCCGGTATCTCTCACTCTCCACCCTGCGTGTGTGCACCTGCCTCTTGTCTCTTCTGACCCCAGATCCATGGGTCATGCCCCGCACCCCATGTGTTCTTCCCTCCCTCTTTCCCTTCATTCGCCCAGGGCAGCCCCAGTGCTGGGCACCGTAGGGGATCCCTGCTGACTTGGTGCCAAGTGTGTAGCTGGAATGGACCCACAGGTCCCATCTTGACCACTCCCTACCCCAATACAGACCCTTCCAGCAGCCCGGGTAGGAGTGTTCCAGTTACCGCAGGGGCATCGCCAGTTTGGAGTGTTCCCAGCAATGGGCCCTGCCCCCTTTTCCTGTGGGGGAGGTGGGTTTCCCAGCCAGTCTCTTGGATGGGAAAGGGATCCTGTAGGCCTGTGCAGCTGGGCAGGAATCCCAGGGACCAGGAAGAAGCTTAGGGTTGGGAGATGCTTCAGTGAATGCTTCAGCCGTCCCCTGTGTGGGTTGCCTGGCCAGGGCTGGTGAGTCCAGAATGGAGGGCAGGCCTGGGGGGCGTGGATCCTTTGGCCATGGCAGGAGGGAGACAGCCACACATGGAGAGCAAGGACAAACCCAGAGGGCGGGCCCCTCTCCAGGAGTGGGTGTGTGTGTGGGGGACAGGACCAGGCTGCAAAGGGGAGAATACCTGGGCTCCAGCTGCCAGCCCAGCCGAAGTCTGTGCTCAGACCCTCACTTGCAGACTTTGCATATCCCCCTGTGAGGGTGATGGGGCCTTTGAGCTCAGAGATCTACAGAGGAAAGAGCATGGGTTCTCCCAAGCCATTATCTACCTTGGTGGAATCTAGTCTCACCAACTCCCAGTGCTCAAAAATCATGAACCAGACCTGAGATTACCTTAAAAACCATGGGATTTGGACCATACTGAATGTGGGTTTGTTCCTTGCCTTCTGGCTTTGGATCCTTGAGGCTGCACTCAAATCACTTTGTCAAGCCTTTGTCCCCAACAGGAGGCTTAGAAACCAAGAATTTAATGAAATCACCTGAATCCAGGAGCTGGAGCTTGAAGAGAAAAACCAAATATCATAATAAAGCCACAAGAGCTGGTAGCTCTGGTAATCTGAGGAGACCAGACTGGCATCTACTGTCTGGGCTTAGTTTCTGCCTTGCTTAGTGGCCTCTAAGCAAAAGCAACTGGCTGCCCTTTCTACCTAAATCATGCCCCTTGTCCTTCGGAAGCTGCATCTACCGACAGTGCAGATGGCTTAGTTAAATCAGCGTGTTCCAAAGGGTGATCGGTGGTTTAAGATGCTCAGATGCTGCTACCTATCTGGCTGCCCAGCACCAGACAATGCCATTTCCCAGCCATTCCCTAAGGGCCTATTGCCCACCGGTGGGTTTGGAATGAATGTCGTCAGTTTGCCTGTGTCTGGAGGGACATTGTGCAGTGGGCACGTCAGCTGCTGCTGTCATAGATAGTAAGGCCAGTCTGCCCTCCTGCCTGGCGCAGCCCAGAGTCCCTCCTGCTGCAGGGTTTGCATAAACTCCTCATTTCTGCTTTGAGCCAGTCGGTCTTTGGGAAAGATGGCCTGTCTCCACTCAGAGCCTGCACAGGATGGAGAATGCCCGCGTCTCTGGGTGGGTTGCGTCCCTTCGCTGGTAAAAATCTGCAGCTTATTTCAGGTTTTAATTTCTCCTGCTTCAGCTGCCAGACTTTGGATCTCGCTCTGCCTTTGTCTGCTCGGGTCAGGTCCTTCAGCTACCACACAGTGCGTGCCCAGGCAGGTACTTACAGGACTTCATCAAGCCAGTGCCACTTGCTCTTGGACAAAGCTTCTGGAGCCTGTCCCTATAAGGCAGGCTTGCCAGACCCCCAGTCAGTCTTGTGTCTCTTCTGGGAACCCTTTCCATTTGGTCAGTGTCCTTTTTGAAGTGTGGCCAGTGGTATCCAGTAACAGACTGAGGTCACACCACCTGCCTTCTCCTCAGTATTTTCCTGCTCACGTATCTGTGGAGTGTGTTTTCCCCCTTAGCTGCAGCATCACACAGACGGTTCACATTCAGTTAGTCTCCAAGAGTCATGCTTTCCACGATACAGTCCCCCCATCTGATAAGTGTGACCTACAGTCTTGTTCCTAGGTGTGTGAGCTTACAGGTGGTTGTTTGAAAACGTGTTTAGATGAGCCCACCTTACCAAGGTGCCCAGGTCAGTCTGTGTATCTCTCCCCATCATTTACCACTCCACTAATTTTAGTGTCATCTGCAAATGTTATCTGTAGTGCTTTTCTATTTTCTTCCAGCTCATTGAGAGAGAGAATAAATCACATTGGGCTGAGCACAGATCCCTGTGGGACTGCACTAGAAACACCCCTTTGGACAATGATTCCCCATTAACAATTTACCTTTTTGAGATCTGTGAAGTATCCAGTTTTTAATCCATTTAAAATGGGCTACATTGACATTGTGTAGTACTCATTGTGTCTGCATGTCATGCAGGGCTAAGTTCTTTCAGACACTAAATATATTAAGTTAGTACAGTTACCTTTAGCAACTAAACTTGTCATCTCTTCCAAAATGAGAAGGTTGTTTAAGACCCTGTTTTCCATCAAATTATGTTGATTGGCATTAATTTTGCTGCCATCATTTAGATCTTTATTGGTTATGTTCCATATCAGCTTTTCCATGATTTAGCCCTGGATCAGGACCAATGTCATGCTGCCTGGCCTGTGGTCACACACACCATCATCGCATTTGCCCATTTCAAATGTTGGCATAAACTCAGCTCTTTTCTAGTCCTCTGGAACTCCACCACCATTCCGAGGTTTGTAAACACCAACATTAATGGTTCACAGAGCTCCGCAGCCAATTTTTTAATACAATGTGGGTTTAAGTTATCCAGTCCTGTGGAATTAAAAACATTTCAATAGTGGATGATTAATAACCTCACTGCACTGGTAACTGATGAAAGAGAAAATATTGAATTATCACTGTAAGATATAAATACATTATCCTGCTTCTTTCTGAACTCAGGATAGCAATACTTACGGAATATTTCTCTCTTTTCTGCCTCATTGTTGACAATTTTTACCATCCTTATCTAGTATTGGACCTATACCAGTGCTAGGATTTCATTTGTTCCTGATTTAGTTAAAGAATTCTTTCTTATTCTCCTTAACCCTATTTGCCATAGATTTTTCACTAAAACCTTTAGTGCCCCTTATCAGTTGTCTGCATTTCCAAACTGCATTGGCTTCCCCATTTTGTCCGTTTGTTATATATATTTTTAATGGCTCCTTTCACTTTCTTCCTTAGCCAGGATATTTTTTAATCAAAGAAGCCTTCTTTTGTGACTGCAGAATTATGTTTCTTTGGTCTCAAACAATTCCAGTCATCATTTACCTTTTTCATGTTTATATCTTTCCTCTCATTTTTGTTTTCAGCTTTGGGAAATTAGTCTTCTTAATATCCCAAGTGTGTGGATTGCTCATTGGCACTCCATTCTGTATGCACATAACAAATGAAATTAGGTTGTGATCAGTTGCACCTAGGCAACCATCAATTTTTAGTTCAGTGATCAATTTGTCGTTCTCCGTTGGAATGTGGCCTGATATCGGTTGCAATACGTTCTGTGTTAGAAAGTTATTGTCTGTAATTTTCAGGAGCTCCATGGACATTTGAGTAGTTGTGGCATGAGCTCTTTTATTGCATCTGGCCCAGAAGTTCAGCGATTTATAGCCTGGGAGTGTAATGTAGCACAATCTCATCTGTGGGCAAGTTAGCGACAGAAAGGGAAGGGAGGTGTCATTTGAGTCGTAAAACTCTCCACAATCCTCATTTTGATGGTGTTCCCCTCTGTGATATGGGAGAGGGAACTTGCTGCCCAGCCAGCTCCCAGCTCTACCTCCCCTGGTTGGCAGAAGTTTTGATAATACAGAGTAATGGGCTGAGTTGGGTGTCCTTCGAAAGCCTTTTCTCCCATGAACACAGTGGTACCAAGCATGACAAACCTAGAACAATTACGTAGATATATATTAGGGGAAATGTATAAAAATCAACTTTTTTAAAGTATCCTTTAACACAGGGATGTTTTGCTTACCTAAAGTAGACACTGATCTTGGCTAATCCTAGGGAAGCTAGCCTTGGCATGTAGGACCGAAAACATGTATTCACCAATGTCATCATCACTGTCATCTCTGTCTAGGGCACCACTGCTAGACACGTTGTCACGCTGCTCCTCTGCGCCACCCTCGTACGTCTCCAGACAAAGCCAGAGCACTGGGGCTGTAGGATTGGAGCCGCAGGGAGCTGTGATAAACAGGGGGAGGGGCTGCACCTGGCTGTTTGGGGAGGCACAGTCTCCTCCAGCCTATGCGACCCACCACCCATGCTCACAGGGGTGGTTCCTGGGCAGATGGAGGCCCAGACATGGGCCCCCAACTCCCTTGCAGGGCTAAGCCCTTTACTGTCCTTGGCATTTCCTCTGTGCTGGTTCAGGCAGCTCCCTGCTCAGCGGTTTGCGAGGTCCCAGTGCGCTGTGGAGGGAGCCTGTGACATGGAGTCCCTGGGCGATGCTCTGGAACTGCTCCCCATGAAGCCAGGCAGGACTCTGGGGAAGTCTCCTTTCTGGGAGCAGCCTGTCTGCAGGACACACAACTCACCCGGCTTCCCCCTTCCTGGGTCCGACCTTGGAGCATTCAGCATCCTCTGCCCCTCCATGTCCTTCCCACAGCGAGTCCGCCCAGGCAGGGTCCTGGGGAAGCCAGAGGGTCCTGCCCCCCAACTCCGCAGTCAGACGTGCCTCTCAGCCAGCCGGGAAAACAGAAGGTTTATTAGATGACAGGAACATGGTCTAACACAGAGCTTGTAGGTGCAGAGAACGGGACCCCTCAGCTGGGTCCATTTTGGGGGGCAGTGAGCCAGACAACCACGTCTCCCCTTCACTCCATGTCCCCAGCCATCCCCAAACTGAAACTCTCTCCAGCCCCTCCTCCTCTGGGCTTTCCCCTTTCCCAGGCCCAGAGGTCACCTGATTCCTTTGTTCTCCAACCCTTTAGCTGTCACCTTGCAGGGGGGGGGAAGGGCCAGGCCATCAGTTGCCAGGAAACAGGGTGTCGGCCATTCTCTGTGACCAGACCCCTGCACACACCTCCCCTTTAGGATTCTGCAACGATCATACACCCTTATCCTACCCCGTAGAGACTTAAGAACTGCCTAGGGTAAACTGAGGCACCCCCACACTATTCAGAGGAACCATTAAGAACAGTCCGCTTCGTCACATCTCTCCCCCCTTCAAGACCGAATTGAGCGGGATCACTTTAGCTGGTGACCTGGGGAAGTTCGAAGCCACCAACGTTCCCATGGATGCCCCAGCATCTCTCCCATTCCTTGGTGGGAGTTACACCAGGCCCTTCCAGTTTCACGCCCTCCCTTAGTTTGGGGGTGGTCGATAGCACTTGCATGCTGCATGTGGGAAGGTTTATGCGGCCCGTGCCCTTTGGCCACCCCAAAACCCCAGGGGGTCAAACTGGGATTGGGTCTTCTCCCCAACAAGCTGGCCAAACAGCCACTTGGTTAGAGGAGTGTTTAACTTTCTTAACAGCTTTCACTTCATCTGAGACCTTCTCAGAGCTATCCACACTGGGTCCTTCAACAGGAAAGTCAGTGGATCCATTCACAACAGAAAATTTTTGGCTGTTAGGAACTGAAACTTTCTTGATTAAATCACTTTCACACCCTTCAGTTGCAGTAAACTGCTTGCAAAGACTCCATGAGGATTCCTTTCCCTAGGGCTTTTCTATGCAACAATTCACCCCTCACAGAAATTCTGCCCTTACCCTCTTTACCTAGGGCATGTTCTAGGGGAACACTTTCCTGAGCAACAACAGACTCTTTCTGGGTCTCCCGTACATCCAGAATTACCTCTGGCCCATGCGGCGGATTCCTACCCAATCCCCTTTCAGGCAAACTTACAGACTTCCTAGATAAAAGGTCAGAAGCATTCTCCTTCCCTTTGCCACACACAAGTTCAGGAATCTTTTCCTTCTAGCTACAGGTTTCCACACCCTCAGTAGGTAACATAATCAAATCACCTTCATGCTCTCCTTGTGCCCTGGCTAGGATCTCACCCTGATTAGACAGAGTTGCGACACCCTTTCCCAACAACACACTAGCAACAGGCAAAATACAAGCACCAGAATTGTCTGGTCTCTGGGATTTTACATAGATCCTAACTGGATGTGACCTAGTAACAGGGCCATTCTCCCGAGCAGACACAAACTTAGGACCCCTTCCCTTCCTGGGCTTCAGCTGAATCCAGAACCAGCTCTGAGACAACTGCACGACCCTCAACCATCACAGGCTGAAAGGCCCCTTCTGTCTGCTCCACAGACAAAGAAGAGCCGGACACACTTTCTCCTTTCCCAGACACACTTTGGGATCTCTTTCCCCTGGTCCCAGCACACAAGGCTGGTCACAGACAACTGCTTGGAGATCAGAGTAGCTCCCTCCATAGGCAAGTCAATACCCCTGACAAACACAGACACATTTCCTTCCCTGTCACACTTCTCCACCCAGCTAACAGGTAAGGTCCAGGGACTCTCAGCTTCCACTCTCCTCGCCTTCCCACCCTGCTGACTAGACACAGCCATCAGCTCACAAGGCTGCCTAGGCTCATCCAGACTTTCCTTACCAAGCACCTTGCCACTCCCCACAGATCCCCTGCCCTGCCTGTGTCTCCCCCCACTCAGCTGGGGTCTCAGCTCCCTCTGTGCTCAGCGCTGCCCTTGCTGTCCCAGTGGGGGTAGGCAGCGAGCTCCCTGCTTTCCTCACTGCATCAGAGCCAGCCTGAGCCCCCGCTCTGGTGTGGTAACAGGCAGGCAGGTAGCCTGAGCCTAGCCGCTCCTCCCTCCTGCCAGCCAGGTCATCTGCATTTTCACTGACCATTTCCCTCTCCACTGACTGGTTCCCTGGATTCAAATTCAAACCCTTGGCAGTTACAGGAGCAGGGCCTGGATCCTGTCCCAAAGAGACACAGTCACCCCACAACAGGGTCTCACAGCTGATATCCCGGAGAACCCCAATGACCAGCCAGCCCCACCCTTCCTGTGTCTGCACAGGGATCTGGGCCATAGGCAGGGCGAGGGGCTTTGTCCCTGGGACCCTCACCCAGGTCACCCAGCCCCTCAGCATCTGAGGCTGCACCACCCAGGGCCTGACACCAGTTCTCTCTGTCCCAGGATCTCGCCACCCCAGGAATGTCTCCCCATTGACCATCACCTCCTGCTCCCACTGGAGGTCCGAGGGGCCTGAGCCCAGGAGACTCCACACAGACATATAGGTTGGGGTCAGGAGTGGGAGCCTGTCCACCTCCCCACCCATCTGGCTGACGGAGTCTATGGCCTTGGGACCCAGCAAGGGAGCTCGACACCGGGGCTTTTCCGCAGGGTCCCCCTGGTTCAAATCTCCAGCCTGCTCAAAGGCAGTGAGGTGGCATCCACACCCCCCCCCCTTAACCAGGGGCAGCAATTTAGTCTCAAGGTTCCCTGCGGAACTGGCCCCCTGGGGTCTATCCCCACTCACCCCTGGGGGGTCCCCTAGGCCTCTCCGCCCCACCACCGCCAGTTCATGCTGCTGCTGCTTCTGCAGCTCTTTCTCGGGCTCTCGCTGTCTCTCACAGTCCTCTTGCTCTCTTGGACTCAGCTCCAATCCCGTCCGTCTCCGATTCCCGGATGGGGAACCTGATCGTGAAGACCCCCGTCTGGTCGGGGACAGGAGTCTTGGGGATGCCTGGCTACCACTCCAGCTGCTCCCAGATCCTGCTATCGCCCCATTTGGGGTCAGGAATCTGTTCCTTAGAGCTGTCATCCTCCTCCAGCTGCACGATTAACTCTGCGTTGGTGAACTTTCCAATGTGTAACCCTCTCTCTTTTTGCACAGGGTTACAATGTCCTTCTTAAGGAGACGGTGACAGGCCATCACTCCGCTCCTCCCAAGTTGTTGTGGACTCACAGGCCCGTGTGTTCTCAGCTCCCCACGGTTTCCAGGGAGAACCCCTCGTGTGCCAGCCCTTCTCGAGGTCACCCCCTCTTTGCCAGGGTCGAGCTGCAGACTCCTCCGCCCCGGGACCGCTCACTGCAATTCCCAGGGGAACCCTGTTACTGCAAAAGTCCGTCTCTCTCCCAGGACCAAGCCGCAGGCTCCTCTGCCCCTGAGACTGCCCTCCACAGTCCCCAGGGGGACCCCATTACTGCACAGTCCTTCTCGCTGGTCACACACTCCCAGGGGTTAACCGCCCCCCGAAACCGCTTCTCTCTGAGTCTTCAGCACGCCTGGTCCTCATCAATCCCCCTTCGTTTTACTGCTCCCCAGTCACTTACTGCAGGAAGCGCCATCCATGGGGTGCAGTACATCCCACTTCTGCCACCAGTTTTCACGGAGTCCCTGGGTGATGCTCTGGAACTGCTCCCCATGAAGCCAGTCAGGATTCTGGGGCAGTCGCCTTCCTGTGAGCAGCCTGTCTCCAGGGCACACAGCTCACACAGCTTCCACCTTCCTGGGTCTGACCTCGGAGCATTCGGCATCCTCTGCCCCTCCGTGCGCTTCCCCCAGCGAGTCTGCCCGGGCGGGGTCCCGGGGAAGCCAGAGGGTCCTGCCCCCCAACTCCGCAGTCAGACGTGACTCTCAGCCAGCCAGTAGAACAGAGGTTTATTAGATGACAGGAACATGGCCTAAAACAGCTTGTAGGTGCAGAGAACCAGACCCCTCAGCTGGGTCCATTTTGGGGGGCAGTGAGCCAGAGAACCCCGTCTCCACTTCACTCCATGTCCCCAGCCAGCCCCAAAACTGACTCCCCCTCCAGCCCCTCCTCCTCTGGGCTTTGTCCCTTTCCCGGGCCAGGAGGTCACCTGATTCCTTTGTTCTCCAACCCTTCAGCTCTCACCTTGCAGGGGGGAAGGGCCCAGGCCATCAATTGCCAGGAAACAGGGTGTCGGCCATTCTCTGTGTCCAGACCCCTGGATACACCCACCCTCTAGGGTTCTGCAACGATCATAAACCCTTACCCCACCACTTAGAGATTTAAGAACTGCCTAGGGGAAACTGAGGCACCCCCACATTATTCAGAGGAAACATTAAGAACAGTCCTGCTTTGCCAGAGCCTGCACCTCGCTGGGGCTGGCGATTCCAAGCACAGCAGGGCGCAGGTGCAGCGTTCGTCTCCTTTGAGGCTCTCGCTCCATGGGCCTGGGAGTTTCAGCCTCATGTTGGGGAAATCAAACTCTACATTGAGTGGTTGCCACGTGGCAGCATCTCCATTGTGGGCGGGCTGGGGCCTTCGCTGGCTCTGCACAGGGCTGGGCCATGCAGGCAGGTTACAGCAGATTCCTGCGGCAGCTCTGGTGCCTTGTGCGTTTGGCATCCCACCGACAAATGTCTTTTCTGAACGGGGGGGGGCAGAGGCCCCCACATTCTTTCCCCTCAGTTTCGGGTCTGGCTCATGCACCAACAGACCCACGCTTGCCCTGGGTTGTGGAAGAAAAAGAAAATGTCTTTCAGAAGTGAAGATTCTCTGACATCACAGAGCCCCCCCTTCCCCTGAGCTGGGCCAGATCTGTCCTGGATCAGAGCATCACGTGCACCCCCTGCTGCTGGGCCTGCCCCTGGAAGAGGTGGCCTCACCCCTCCAGCCCCTTGGGCGATAACATCCTGGACTCGTGCCGTTGTTCTGTGAGCTTTCCTTGGGGCACCGCCCCAGCCTGAGCAGGGCCCTTCTCCGCAGGGCCACCCCCTGCCCCTTTGCCCACAGCTCCTTTCCCGCTTCTGTAGCTGTCCCATGAGGCCCCTGCTTAGCAGCTGACACCCACCTGCCCCCTGAGTCCCAGCGAGGCAGGCAGGGGCCAGGAGCTGAGTTTGTCGTTCCAGTGAAACTCCTTGATTCCTTCAGAGATCCCAGAATGACCCGTCTCCTGTAACGGCAACACCTGGCCAATCTGCCCCTGTCCCTGGGAGCCAGGAACCCCCCCGCTACCACCAGTCATGCCAGAAGTTCTTACCCTATCCCCACATTTCTCCACCTTGCTTCTCTGAAAGAGGCTGGCTATTGGGGGGGAGGCAGCCCCCCTGTGTGGCCCTGATGTAAGCAGAGTCAGGATGAGCTCCACCCTGACATCTGGTGGTGAGATGTGGCAAGTTGTGGAAAAGAACTTCAGGGGCCGATCTCATTTGCATAGGCACACCCACCCCGCCTAGAATGAGCCCATAGCTGCCCCAAATGGTCACTTTGGCTGCTGTGGGATCCCCAGTGTCTCTGTTATTGGGGCAGGAAGAATAAATTGTTATTACCCTGATTATGGGAACTGTGCTTGGAACTGTGCTTGGCCTTTTGTTATGATGGAGGGACTCACCATCAACTAAGTAGCACTCGCTAGGCAAGGGTCATGGGTTCCAAAACTGTGAATTGAGAGAGGTTGGGGACAAGTATTAATGCTTGGTGACATGGGCCTCTTAGTGAGGGTTTTATATGCTAATTGCACTTTCTCCTCTCTCCACTGGGGAATATCAGAACTAATTTTGATTCTGTTAGGAGTCTCATTACAGGCTGCTGAGCTCACTTTGGGCTAATGGTGCACCAGCACTGAGGCTTCTCTCCTAAATGCTGAATTCACCTAAGAGCTGAAATCACTGAGTGTTGTGTTAAGTAGCGGGGGAGCCTGAAGATATATTGTGGAGCAGTTTGCGGGATGGCTGGAGTGCCTTGTGGACAGGCTGGTGGAGCAGTTTGTAGGATGGCGGGAGCTGCATGTGGGCCAAGGAGCTGAGCGAAGCAGTTTGTGGAGTGGCGAGCGGAGCGAAGGCCTATGGAGCTGTGGGGCGGTCAGCTTCAGATCATGTAAGGTGCCTCTTACCTCCACCCCCATCTCTACCCAGGTTGAGAGGTAAAGCTCTGCAGATAAACTTTCGAACTCTGGGGCTGCCCTAACCAGGGAAAGAGACTTTTGGGTCATTGGACTTTTCGGACTTTGGGTGATTTGGGGTTGCTGGACTCAAGAACAAAAGGGAAAGGACATGCCCCAATTTGCTTGGGGTGGGTTTTTTGCTAATGGGTTGTGTTATGAATCCTGTTAGTGGTGTTTCCCCAACATAATGCCACATTGTTTCTCTCTGTTATTAAAAGGCTTTTTGCTACACTCAGACTAGGTGCTTGCGAGAGGGGAAGTATTGCCTCTTGGAGGCGCCCAGCGGGGGTGGTATATATTTGCCCCAGGTCACTGGGTGGGGGCACGAGCCGATTTGCATTGTGTTATTGGAATGGATCCCCTAGATACTGAACCCGGCCCTTGTTGCTGCCAACTCTGACGGGCAGAAGGGTTACACTTATTCAGCTACAATGTGGCTTTTAACTACTCTGGCTCTAGAACTGAGCAGGTTCTTAGGCAGCCCATTGTGTGCACGTCCCCGGGGGCCTGGACCTGGCCAGCGGCTCATCAGCCTCAGGATAGTTTCCACAGCAGCCGGAGCAAAGGTTGCGGGAAGAGAAAGCTCTGAAGCATGGGAGTGAAGGGGGAGGTGGAATTCCTGAGGGCTGCACCTAGTGCATGTGAAATGGAGCGGGGGCCAGGGAGCCCCAGGAGGCTGCAGGTCCCAGCGTGCAGTGCCCCATCGTCTCCGCAGCTGGGCCCCGTTGCGGGCTAGGAGCCGTGCAGCTGTAGCGGCTGCAGGCAGCAGCTTTGGGCGTCAGCCCGCCACATCCGCCACCCCTGAGCTAAGGCCTGAATGTGCCAGGGTGTGGCTTCACCCCAGCAGCCTGGTCAGCTGCTCAGACCCCACCTGCTGTTAGGGGGCTGTGCTGCTGGGGTGCTGGCTATTGGACCCTGGCCATGGCTGCTGTGTGGCTGGCCGGGCGTGACTCCCCGCTGGTGTGTGGGTCTCCTCAGGAATTGAACGGTCAGCCACCTCTGGTGGCAGCAGAACCTCGCTCTCACCAGGCTGCCTGCAGGGGAGACTGATGGTCCGTGCGGATGGATGGGGTGTCGCACATGCTGCCTGCTTCTCCCGCAGAGCCCCCAAACCGTCCAGCCTACGCCCTTCTCCCACAGGAGCTGGGAGCCAGGAGCCGCTCCAGTCAGGGGAGGGCTGGCTGCCCCAGAACAGCTGGTGGTGTTGGGCCCCTATAGGAATAGGCAGGGTTCCTCCATCCAGCCCCTGAGTAGGGGGAGCGTGCACCAGCACAGGAGGGAGGAGAAGCTGGGGCTGGGGGTTAACCATTTGGCGAGCTGACCTGGGGCAGTGGTGGATTCTCCATCCCTTGGGGTGTTTCTGTCCAGACTGGATGTCTCTGACAGCTCTGCTCTAGTTCAACCAGCTCTTCGGGGCTAGCTGGTGTCCTGGGGGAGGGTCGCTGGCCTGAAATGTAATGGAGTCCGATTAAATGGTCACAGTGGTCACTTCTGGCCTTAAAAGCTGTGACTAGAAGTAGGATCCTTAACCAATGTGGGGTGAAGGGAAGGAGGGGAGGGGACGGAACGAGGCCTCGGAAAGAGCTCAAGCAGTTCCCTGCTTTTGGAATCTGCCCTGATCCCTGAAAAGAGGAGCCCTTGGCAGTCGCTACCC